TGAACAAGACTGTTGAAATGAACCTGGATCAATCGACCTGTCGTTCTTTCGACTGTAATACTGTACCCTAACACTGTACTGCAACACACACACACAAAAAGAGAAATATGTTACCTGTGTTATGGTTGATGTTACAACTGCCACAAACAGCTTACTTGATTTGTGATTGCTTCCCTCGCCTTGTGGCTCAGACGCCTCGTTCTCGGAACTGTTACGTATCCTACTTTTTGTTTGTGATACGTTTCCGAGAAAAAGACATTGTCCATGAAATGTATAGGTTAACGATCGATTTGGTGGTAGTGATAGGGCGGCCGCATTACTATCGATTCATTTAGTTAGTATGTTACATGATCGACTGACGAAGCACTTTGTACCGCGTTTCCGAGAAGAGAGACATTTCCAGAAATTGTAGACATTAAAGGGGAAGTGAAGTGAAACTAGCAACCGTGCAGATTTAGTTACTTCAGCCAATATTACGGACTTGCCTGGGAGCGACTCGTTTGTCCTGTTTATAAAGCAATCCGGATTAGTCAACTTTAGTCCGTTACCATAGACACTGCCATGATGAGTTCGCTGACATCGGGTGTGTTTGCAGAGGTCAACATTGCTAACAGTACATCGTTTTCTTCATCGCCGTCTTCAGTTTCCTGGGCAGTAGGAAATCCACATTTCACGGATGATCCCTTGATCTAATGGCTTTGGGTCCGTAATCCGTAATTGAGAGAGTCCTGATTATAAAACGAGCTTTGATAATAAATTAAGAACAATTTTGCCGGGACTCAGAGAGGATTATGTCCGGATTATGGAGAAAACCGGTTTACAAAGATTTGACAGAATCTACAGTAATTGTTTTGAAACTAGTAGAAAAATAAAAATCTAACCATTAGACCACGATACAAAAATGTATATATATGATAATAGATCACTCTTAAGAAAGGTATGATCACTGTACTTTGGACCATGGGGACTTATAGTACCTCTCCTTCCTTCATTGTGTACCAGTATCATATATATACAGTGGGATCTGTCAAATCCGGATTCGTTGTAAACCGGTTTTCTCAATATTCCGGACTGGTGAAGGCTGATAGGGAACATACCCACTGTTTTAAAGGCCTTCATACCAAAATACCATAACCACACAAAACATGTGATGAAGGTCGATAGGGAACACACATACCTCAATCACCCACTGTCTTGATCGCCTTCATTCCGAAATACCTAAACCACACAAAACATGTTTAAAGGCCGATAGGGAACATACCCACTGTCTTGAAGGCCTTCATCCCCAAATACCTAAACCACACAGTTAACCTAAATCACACGGCGGTAAAGAACAAGCAAGCAAGCAAGCAACCAAATACCTAAATCACACAAACCGTGAAGAAAGCCGATTCGGAACACACCCATGTTAAACGTTTTGTGTAATTTTAGATTTTATGGCGACTCTTTGTGGCTCAGTAGAGGGTGGTATGTTGCGTTGAAAATTTTTGAAGTGTGAAGCATCATGTTTCCATGAGTAAACCATGCTTAGAAAAAAAGGTTTCGTTCAGTTTCTTTACACATTTATGTAGTAAACTGACTATTAATAGTTAGTAACGCACGCACTGAATGAGTTTGGTTTTACGCCGCTTTTAGCAATGTTCCAGCAATATCACGGCGGGGGACACCCGAAATGGACTTCACACTTTGGACCCATGTGGGAATCGAACAGGGGTCGTAAGCGTGACGAACTGACGCTTTAACCATTAGGCTACCCCATACGCTCTGAGATGTCTTGTTTTTTACTATTGTGGTACTGATGTAGTAATCTTGTTTGTACCAACAGCATATAAACAATGAATTTGAGTCACTTCACATGCAGTGTTTACAAAAACAATTCACTTGCACCTAAGAGACCCGTGAAATTCCGGGTTAAAACTGGTCTTCAGCAACCAAGAGGTGACCAACGGGATCATACAGTCAGGCTCGCTGACTTGGTTGACACGTAATCATATTTCAGTTGCTTAGATCGATGCTCATGATGTTGATCACTGGATTGTCTGATACAGACTCGATATTTTAAAGAACATATAGTTGGAGTATTGCTGAGTGCAGCGTTAAATAACAAACAAACAAACAAATAAAACAAACAAACGTGCACCTGCCAAGTGACACAGTGATGTGGAATTAGTATATCAATAAAATGATTGGGGAATAGACTGACAAGCGCGAATGTAAAAAATATCTGTTCATTTCAACTACAGTAGGGTACGGTTGTTACGAACCAAAAGGATGGTTATATCAGTCGGTTCGTTACAAGTGTGTTCGTTATAACCGTAGTTCGTTATACGCTTTGCGACTATAGTATACAGCAAGTGGCTGGAACAGAAAGACAGGTCGTTATATCAGTCGGTTCGTTACAAGTGAATTCGGTATAAGCGTAGTTCGTTATACGCGTTGCGACTATAGTATAGAGCAAGTGGCTGGAACAGAAAAACAGGTCGTTATATCAGTCGGTTCGTACAAGTGAATTCGGTATAAGCGTAGTTCGTTATACGCATAGCGACTATAGTATACAGCAAGTGGCTGGAACAGAAAGACAGGTCGTTATATCAGTCGGTTCGTTACAGGTGTGTTCGCTATAAGCGTAGTTAGTTATACGAATTGCCACTATGGTATAGAGCAAGTGGCTGGAACAGAAAGACAGGTCGTTATATCACTCGGTTCGTTACAGGTGTGTTCGGTATAAGCGTAGTTCGTTATACGCATAGCGACTATAGTATACAGCAAGTCGCTGGAACAGAAAGACAGGTCGTTATATCAGTCGGTTCGTTACAAGTATGTTCGGTATAACCGTGGTTTACTGTGTACAGGATAAGTGGACGGGGTAACTGCATTGGGGTGGACCGTCGTGCTGAAGACAATTCCAGGTAATGTAAGTGTGTGTGTATGCAATGTAAGTGTGTGTATGTGTGTTAATGCAATTGTGTGTGTCTCTGTGTGTGGTGTAGTGTGGGTGAGTTAGTGCCACCGTGTTTGTGTGTGTGGTCTAAATGTAAGTGTGTGGGCTAGTGCCTTCGATTTTGTGTGCATGTGGTGTAGTGTTGGTGAGTTAGTGCCACCGTGTTTTATGTGGTGTGTGTGTTAATGCAAGTGTGTGTGTGTTAATGTAAGTGTAATGTGTGTGTGTGGTGTAGGCTCTGTGTGTGTTAGTGCCACCGTATTTTATGTGTGTGTGTGTGTGTGTGTGGTGTAGTCTGTGTGTGTTAGTGCAACCGTGTTTGTATATGTGGTGTTCATGTAATGTGTGTGCTAGTGGCTGTGTGTTTTTTGTGTGTATATTAGTGCGAGAGTGTGTGTGTTGATATAAGCGTGCGTGCGTGTGTTAGTGCAAGCGCGAGGGCGTGTTAATGTGTGTGTCTGTGTCTGCTAGTGCCAACGTGTGTTGTGTGTAAGCGCGCGCGCCCGTGTGTGGTGTTAGCCTATACGTTTTCTGTGTTGGTGTGTTAGTATAGTTTTAACCGACCGAGGTACCACGCACCAGTTTAACATGGATAACCCACACAGACTGACCCTGACCCCTCGTCAGTCCTTGTTTAGTCCCCTAATGCCAAGTAGAAGGCTCTTGCCTAATGTCAAGTAGAAGGCTCTTGCCAAGTAGAAAGCTCTTGCCTAATGCCAAGTAGAAGGCTCTTGCCTAATGTCAAGTAGAAGTCTCTTGCCTAATGCCAAGTAGAAGGCTCTTGCCTAATGCCAAGTAGAAGGCTCTTGCCTAATGCCAAGTAGAAGGCTCTTGCCTAATGCCAAGTAGAAGGCTCTTGCCTAATGCCAAGTAGAAGGCTCTTGCCTAATGTCCTAATGCCAAGTAGAAGGCCTTGCCCTGTGTCTCTTGCCTAATGTAAGTAGAAGGCTCTTGCCTAATGAAGGCTCTTGCCTAATGCAAGTAGAAGGCTCTTGCCTAATGCCAAGTAGAAGGCTCTTGCCCAAGTAAAGGCTCTTGCCTAATGCCAGGTAATGCCAAGAGTAGAAGGCTCTCTGCCCAAGTAATGTCAAGTAGAAAGCTCTTGCCTAATGCCAGAGTAGAAGGCTCTTGCCAAGCTCTTGCCTAATGCCAAGTAGAAGGCTCTTGCTCTTGCCTAATGTCAAGTAGAAGGCTCTTGCCTAATGCCAAGTAGAAGGCTCTTGCCTAATGCCAAGTAGAAGGCTCTTGCCTAATGTCAAGTAGAAGTCTCTTGCCTAATGCCAAGTAGAAGGCTCTTGCCTAATGCCAAGTAGAAGGCTCTTGCTGAACGGTGTGCTAGTAACGTCTGTGGTAGACTTACAACGAAATTATGTCCACAGTAGTCTTTTCCTTAAATGCCAAATGAAGATCTTGCCTAGAAGCCAGAGTAAAGGCTCTTGCCTAATGCCAAGTGAAGGCTCTTGGCGGGGCCGAATAGAATCGACTCTGCCTAATGCCAAAATAGAAGGAGCTCACGGACCTTCCTCTCCCAGACAAACACTGTATCTACTACACCACGGATGCGCTCTAGGATTACTGCTGCTCTGGATCAAGAGAGAACACGGCACTGGGACTATATTACACCTAGTTCACGTATCGTGAGAAGGAAGTAACATCCCCAGTCTGTTATGTAACTAAACAATTATACATTCACCGGCTGTATATATGTTAGAGTGCACGTCACACGCCAAATAGTCTGTCTCAAGTCCCCGAACCACATATTTTCCCTCCTGCCCAGCTATTCCTGCAGTGCTAAAGCCCTAAATGAAGCAAGTCTAGATTTCCTCAGGTATTGAATCTCCCTTCTCACTGGTTCTCCTTCTCAATTTAAAAGGAATTGTTTGTTTCTGTCAAAATTATATACATTCAGAGACTAAATGTTAGTCTAATTGTTAAAGTTCTCAAAACAGCTGTAGACAACCTCTGTGCAGTGAGTGCTTCACAACAGCCAAGTCACAACTACCTACTTTCGTTATTGTTATACCTGAATGTAATATCCTACCTGAACGGTGATGCGAGTTCTCGATGACATGAAGCGTTACGAGTTGCCTGCATTGAAATGTCATTTTCATTTTACGGTTAATCAATGCACCGCTTTTGACACGAGACAAATAACAGGTGAGTTTAGTTTACTCTGTAATAAATGTCCGTCCATGTACGTTACAAGGATATATACATATGTCACCTTTCCGTTGTATTCACTAAAGTCGCCATCTTAATACCCTGCTTATGCTGAAACGCCATGATCGGGACACCTTGTACCCGACAGCCATATTTCTGTTTGATGAGATAAGTATATTTGACTTTATTTTTCGAGTTTTGAATAATTTCAGGTTGCATATTGACATTTTATTACTATTACTTCATTAATTACCTGGGGCGGCCATTACCCCTACATGCCACTACCCCTACAGCTTATAACAACATAGTTTATGGTCTGTTGCATAACTAATCTCCTGCCTGTTACCTATTCCATACAGTGGACTGGTCCACTTAAGATGCACAACATGACACAAGACAGATTTTAAAAGTGACTTTAATACATGTGTTATCACAAAGTACCACATCATTGAGATCAATTGTCAAGTTTTTCAGTCTATTTACATTCAGTGTTTTCATATCATCATATAAGGATGAACAAAAGATCACATTATCACAAGTGTTTCATATCAACATATCAGGATGAGAGAAAGACCACATTATTACATTATCACAAGTGTTCAAGTGTCAGTGTTACAGTCTATCCAAGCTTGAGCAGGTAGCCGACGGCGTCAAGAAACTGAAGAGGGGATTTCTGTCCACGCTGAAGCTGTTCCTTGAGTCTGCACAGACGGTTGTCGATCTCTCTGTACACTCGTTTTCTGTTTGTTGGCGCAGCACCAAAGTCAATCTGAGCAATCCTCACTCTCTCGGCGTGTTCGACTCTCCTGATGACTTCTACAAATCTGTAGATGTTCGGGTGCCTGTGTGGAATTTCTCGATTCAGACGGTTGTGGAATCCTTCCAGGTTGTTGTTTGTCCTCGGCCCAGCTGTCAAGTTGTGGTTCCACAGGTGAAGAAAAAATCTGGCAGTGTCGTCGACCCATGTTGTCACGATGTAGTCGTTGAAGTCGCCAGCTCTTGGGACGTCAGGAGTGTCATCCATGGCTTCAATCCAAGTGTCTTGGACCGCGGCTTGAGGAAGTAGAGGTAGTCCAGCTGCTCTCCTGATCCACTTGGTGACTTCGGGGTTTTCCTTGTAGGCAACAGCTAGTCCAAGATCCTGAACCTTCCTCCAGATGGCTTGACAGAAATGGAAGAAACAGCCCTTCACGTCAGCAGTGGGAAATTCTGTTTCTATGGCGTGGATTGCTGCTAGCTCAAAATCGGTCTGGATGCAGGCAGGATCAAGCGGTCTGTTGAGTCTCTGCTGAACTTCATCCTTGAGCAATCGGAAGAGTCTGGAGTAGGTTGTTGTCTGGCGGTCCGGAAGAAGGGCGAAGATGAGGGGATATGTTGAGCTGCCACGTCTTGCATGGATGATGTATGCTTGATTCCACAGTGCAGGACAGGCTGTGAAAGTTCCATCCATGTAGAGGTTGTCAGCTGACTGCAAGGCTTCAAGACTCTCTTGTGTTCCGAAGGCCAAGATCTTGTCGTCATGGCCGTCCGCAAACAGGAGGAATGGTCTACCATCTGCTGTCTGCGTCCAGGGATCTTGGAGGTCGACTTCTGATCTCGTCTGTGGTAAGACAGGAATCGTCTTCTGGCGGTGGCGGTACAGGGCACTGCTAACAGATGGAAAGGAGGGCATGGTACGTGTCTCGTCATCAGTCAGGTTGGTAAGCTCGTTGTTGTAGACGGTGCGCATCGGTATTGACTCCTCCCTGGCTCTCTTCCTCAGGTTGCTGACAAACCGGACCTTCTGGCTATCCTCTGGTGGGTGATTGTGTTCAGTCGTATTTCTTACCACATCGCCAACAGTTGTGACTCTTCCTTTGCATGTTGACTGCACACACTTCCAGTGTACACAGGTCTGTCGCTCAACATTCTTAGTGTGAAGATATCCATCCAACAGAACTTGACGGCTACCTCTCCGTGACATAACAAACTCAACATTGCGAAGACCAGCCATGTTGATGCCATGTTTGTTTCATGTCAGCACTTATATACTGTATGGAACAATCTCAATTTCCTGTATCATCTCCACGTTTTATTTCTCTCAACTTCTCAACATTGTAATATATGTAACATTAAAGTGCACTATAACAACTTTTCTTAACAACATTTAGCAATCACAACACTTTTCCAATTGTATGTTTCTTCTACTCAGGGTTGAGGTTTGTTTTCATCATGAGACCACTAATTTCCTTGCCACAAAAGACTAATCACATTTATGCATCCCTTGATCTCATCTATGCTCCATGCACTAATCCCTCTTTAGGATTAGTCTATTATATCAGACAGGTAAATGCTAGGTGTTGTTTTAACTAGCTGTAGGGGTACTGGAGTGTAGGGGTAGTGGCATGTAGGGGTTATGGGTGTGAACCTAGCCTAGTGGTTAAAGCGCTGGCTCGTCACGCCGAAGACCCGGGTTCGAATCCCCGCATGGGTACAATGTGTGAAGCCCATTTCTGGTGTCCCCCCGCCGTGATGTTGCTGGAATATTGCTGAAAGCGGCGTAAAACCAAACTCAGTCAGTCATTAATTACCTACTACTACTGCTGCTGTTGCTACTGCTACTAGTACTACTACTACTTCTACTGCTGCTACTACTACTACTACTACCACTACTACTACTACCACCACTGCCACGTCACCGTTACTACTACTACTACTACCACCACCACTACTACTACAAGTACTACTACTACAATTACTACTACTACTACTACTACTACTGCTACAACAACAACTACTACTATTACTACACCCACTACTACTAGTATTATTATTGCTGAAACATTTTTCGCGTCGTATCCACCGCTAAGCAGAGTTCACAGTGACGCTACATTAATTCAACCTATTATGATCGAGTTCATTCTCAGATCCAAGGGACGAATATATGGGCCAGGGGTAAATGGGTTTGTTTACATTGAGTTAGTGAGTGAGTTTAGTTTACGCTGTTGGAAGTAATATTCCAGCACTGCCATGGCAGGGATACCTGAAGTGGGCTCACAAATCACACCCAATTTTGGATTCGAACAGAAGCGAACAATTTAACCACTGAGCTACCGTCGCCATATGGACATAGGTGTGGAGACGCTGTACATAGTGCGAGGTCACGTCTATTTCCAAACGCTACTATTTAAACGAAAATACAAAAATCACGTGCATTGTCCATGAATAACATGACTACTATAGTGACATACCATTGTAGCCGATTTAATATTATCGCCATGTCGCAAAATAGACGAGCTGCCATTGTATAAGAAACATGACTCTGTTATCATCCAACCTAAACACCTCGAAACTGGAAGAAAAGTGCCGGTTCGTTGACACCAGCGGAACCAAGAGAATTCCTCTCTAAATCTTATCAGCGTCCGCCCGGAGAGCGGAAGGTCGCGGGTTCGATCCCCGACCGCGTCATACCAAAAGACGTTAAAATATGGTACTTGTTGGTCCCTGCCTGGCGCTCGGCATTAATGGGTACAACAAGGACTGGTGGGCTCGGAGTCAGTATAATGTGTCTGAGTGAGGTATTCATGCTTCACTGCGGCATGGTATCTCAGTGGGCTAGCACTATAAAACCAGCTTAAGTCTGGGCTAGTACAAGCAGCCGCACATACACATACACGCGCATGCACGTCGTCATATGATTGAAATATTCTCAAGCACGACGTTAAACCCAATTTCACCTCACCTCACCTCTAAATCTTATCAGGAACCGTAGCTGTTGTTGACTTCAGGCTTGTTTTGTGGCGTTGACAGATTTACATAAACGGAAGTTTGTTACGAATAGAACAAAATCAAGGTCGTCATCGTTATACCTCTGCTGTTTAGGAGATTTGAAATTAAGTGATTTTTCATGCTGTTAAAACTAGTGTTTCTGCAACAACTAATACTAATTTAACCTTATAGTTTGAAATGAATATTATAAAATTATTTAAATTATAATTCTAAATGAATGAAATTCAAAAACGATGTAAATATATAGTCACGGTATATCGTTTCACGCTTCATTTTCTGTGGGGGCGGAGTGGTTAAAGCGTTCGCTCGTCACGCCGGGTTCGATTCCCCATATAGGTACAATGCGTGGAGTCCATTTCTGGTGCCCCCCGCCGTGATGTTGCTGGAATATTGCTAAAAACGGCGTAAAACCATACTCACTTACTCACTCATTTTTTGAGTTCATAATATAGAAGCGGAAGCTTAACGTCGCTCTTGTGTTAAACACCTGTCTTAAAACACGAAATGTTGGACAGCTCAGACTTTATCATGACCATGTGTTAAGGAATCCCTTTTTACAAAGCCATGATATATGGTGATCGGTTTAAGGGGTGTGTCTCCACCTCAGCTGGTGGCAACACATGCAAAGGCAAGTCAAATATCCAGGTGAAATATACGAGAACATATATTCAAAATTAGGACTCGTATCCAACATTGTATTTTCCAAAGCGTCGAATTTTAAACTGTCTGCACAATGTTAGCAAGAAACGATTTAACGTTTAATAAGAAAGCAAATATTGTTTCTTTAATTATAAAATCTTCGTGTATGTTAGTGGCACAATATGATGGTACGGGACAGGTGGTGATGTTAGGACAGCGTTGCAGTCTAACTGTTAAATCCTTCGTTCAACAGGCCGAATATCCTGGTGCTCATAATATCAATCACTAAAATGTTTAAGATTCGATACTTACACGTGACGGTCCAGAACCCCGTTTCAGAAAGCTATCGTAGCCCTACGACTGTCGTAAGTCTATGTTAAGTAAGGGAGTTACGGTCACCTTAGCGCTACCATCGCTTTGTGAAATGGAACCCTGGGCCCCTTTCAGAAAGCTATCGCAGCGCTACGACTGTCGTAAGTCTATGTTACAGTATGGGAGTTACGATCACCTTAGCGCAACGATCGCTTTGTGAAATGGAACCCTGGGCCCCGTTTTAGAAAGCTATCGCAGCGCTACGACTGTCGTAAGTC